GGGAGCCCGATGCGGGACTCGATCCCGGGACTCCAGGATCATGACCTGAGCCGAAGGCAGTCGCTTAACCAACTGAGCCACCCAGGCACCCGGCAAGATGCTTCTAACAGAGGGTTTGTCTCACCTGTTTTGTGTACGTTGTTAGAGCTTCCCCCCCTCTCTTTTCATGTTATGGCTGTTCTCACAGACACAAAGCTAGACAGGGGAATCCATGGACCCATCTCTGAGGATTTTAACTTCTGTGGACATTTTGCCAGTGTTGTTGCCGCTCCTGTCCACACCCTCTTTCTCCGCACCTGCCCCTGGATTATTTTTCCTTTTTTTTTTTTGAGAGAGCAAGCAGGAGCGGTGGGAGGGGCCAGAGGGAGAGGGAGAAGCAGACTCCCTGCTGAGCAAGGAGCCCGACCCTGAGATCAAGACCTGAGCCCTGGGCAGACGCTTAGTCGACTGAGCCATCCAGGCGCCCCTGGAGTATTTTAAAGCCAATCCCAGATACCATGTCATTTCACAAAAACACTTGAGCATTCATCTCTGATAGGACTTTCTTTCTTCTTAAAAAAAAATAAATAAATAAAGGTTTGGTGGGTTTTTTTCATTGTCAGTTTTATATCTAAGTAAATTCATGCCTTTGGGAAAACTGTATTTTCACATCAATCGCATTATATAATTTCACACTTGTGTGTGTAAGTTGCATCAGTAGGGCTCTGTAGTCTGGGTGGGAGGAAGGGGATTGGCCATGGTACAGGAGCTTCCAGACCTCACAGGCTCTGTGGGTGGCCCCCCTCGCTGGTCTGATGTCCAGAGGGAGAGCTCTGTGCCGAATATTCGAATCATTTTATTTTCTTTTATTTTTTCTAGGTATTGTTAGAGATACAAAAAGAACTATTAGACTACAAAGGAATTGGGATTAGTGTTCTTGGTAAGATTTACTTTTTGACTCTGAATATCCAGGTTCCAAAGGGAACTGATGAAAATGCATCAAGCCTCGAATTTTTCGCCTCGGTCTCCCTTTAGGCCTTTGTAGATATATTTTTAAATTTTAGTAACTTTGGTGGCATGTTTGATAGAAGCAGTTTTTTTTCTAAAGATTTTATTTATTTATTTATTTGAGAGAGGGAGCATGAGGGTGGGGCAACAGCAGAGGGAGAGAGAGAGAGAGACTCAGGCTCTCCGCTGAGCAGGGGGCCTGCCACGGAGCTCCATTGGCATCTGAGATTAGAAGATGCCAAACAGGTGTATCACAGGGCTCCAAACCTCTGCAGTCTTGCCTCCCATTCGTTTCAAAGCTTTTACGGAACTTAAAAATGAACTGAGTAAAAGTTTAAAAGTCTATAAGCCTTTGCTCAAGATCTTGCGCCTTAATAATTTCATTAAGTTTCTCCTTTATCGTTGAGGAAGGGTCCCTTTGAATTTTTTAAATTTACTTTTTAAATTTTAATTTCCTTTTTCTTTGTTTGGTAATTCCCAAGGCTGAGGCCGCATAGTATGAAGGGATCATAAGGTTAACTGTGTGCTCACTGCTATTCAATTTTGTTCCTGTGGGTTTGGGGACTAAACTTGGGTTCTGCGCAGTGAGAGCCGCAGAGTGGAAATTTGTGCTGTTGTTTCTACGGGGCAGTCTTTGCACCATGGTTTCATGTTCGTGAGAAGGATGTGAAAAATCACAGAGATGGAAGGATGAATTAGTAAATGGCTCATTCAATGAGTATGCCACTTGAAAAATCATTCCGCTGTGACCGTAAGTCTCAAATGTGTGCAATTTGAAAATCAGTTTGGATTTTTCCCCTAAACGAAGTCAGCCTTGGCCCACAATTTGAGTGTAGAATAACCAAAATTTCCCTTTATTATTTTATTTGCAAATTGTGTAGCTACTTCTAAAGTTACTTCTGTGTGTTTGGTTTTAAACGGGAACTTTTTTTTTCTTATTTATCTTTCCTTCCACAGAAATGAGCCACAGGTCATCAGATTTTGCCAAGATTATTAACAACACAGAGAATCTTGTGCGGGAATTGTTGTAAGTTAAAAATTTTAAAGACTGAAGTCATTACTCTTGTTTGATAAACCACATGTGTGGGTGTCTGTTACGGTATTTACTCTGCTGTGTGTTAAGAATATTTCATAATTAAAAATAATCTTTTAGGGCACCCGAGTGGCTCAGTTGGTTGAGTGACTGCCTTCGGCTCAGGTCATGATTCCCCCGGGGTCCTGGGATCGAGCCCTGCATCGGGCTTCCTGCTCATCGGGGAGCCTGCTTCTCCCTCTGCCTCTGCCTGTCACTCCCCCTGTTTGTTCTCGCTCTCTCTCTCTGTCAAATAAATAAATAAAATCTTTAAAAAAAAAATAAAAATAATCTTTTGAAGATTTCTCTCAAATTCACTCCATTAGTACATAATGGTTTTTACTTGTTTCCCATTCTGCTTTTGTGTTTTTATTTTTATTTATTTATTTTTTTAGAGAGGGAGAGGGAAATCCTAAGCAGGCTCCATGCCCCATGCGGAGCCCCAGTTGGGGCTCAATCTCACAACCCTGAGGTCATGACCTGAGCGGAAATCAAGAGTCAGACGCTTAACTGACTGAGCCACCCAGGCGCCCCTGTGTGTTTTTATTTTATGTGGTGTTTCCAAAGATTTGAAATCATTATATCTAGGAAAGATTTTTCAGGCTTAAAAGGGATTTAAATAACAAAGAAATGGTCATCTTGGTCAGGGTACTGGTTCTTAAAACATGGGCCTCCTACCACCTGTCAGAACGACCTAG